AGATGCTTAGTCCACTGAGCTATCTCACTGGCCCAATTATTGTTTTTTTTTTTAAAATGTGATTTTAAAAAAAAATGTACTAAGTTGCACAATAATCATATAAAATTTTTGGTTATCCTATTCTGTGGTAATAAGTATACCTGAGCTACAGGACACAGTCATCATATATTAAAGCTAAGCACCCATGACAAACACATGTAATTTGTATAGTTATAGGCACTCTTTGGTTGGTTTACCTAATTTTATCAATATACTCTTTATATACATAATTGGCACACTCATCGTGGGGAATTTATACCTATATATAATACGTCTTGATTCTTCTTTTTATCTATTTCTTTAATTGAAAAGGTGGTGCATAATAATTAAGAGCACTTAAAACCTGAGCCAGGCAACCCAGCTTCCAATTTGTTTAGCTATTAGTTAGCTGTGTCACCTTGGACACCGTAAATGCCCCAATCTTGTGAGATTTAAATGAAATGATGCCTGGGATGCTCCTAGGACAATGCCTGGCCAATACCATATGCTGCATCATTCCTTGCTCTTACATTTTGCATTACTCTGATGACAAATAAAAGAGGAAAACTAGAACTACATTTCTTGCAGGGTTGTACTTCTAATGGAAGTGCGTCAGGCTGAGCAGCGTGCGTAAGGTATATCTCTCAGCATTGTTCTTCAAGATATTGGGGCTGAAACTTCCAAAATTTTCTGCACACAATGAGTCTCTCAAAAGATCCTATTATCAATATACTTCATACGCATCTATAGTATTTAAATGGCAATGGAATACCCATCTCTGACAAAGCCAAACAAAAGAAAGGGATTACAAATGAAGGACCATTTTGTACCAATATATACAAAATAGTTAGGTTAGATATGCAGTTACTTTCTGTTAATTCAATGAGAGGAAGGAATTGTACAAATAGTGTTTGGACAGGATATCATGTCTGCATCTTGTACTATGAATAACAACAGTATGCAATACATTAATTATTGAAACTATCCTGTTAATTGGTTTTGTAACTGTCTCATTGCTATTTGTTTCTCAATAAAATTAATTAAAAAAATAAAAAAAGGAGCACCAGAGAGATGGCTCAGTAGATAAGTGCTTCCCTGGCAAGCGCAAGGGCTTGAGTTCAATCCCTAGTTCTGCCAAGAAAGAAAGAAAGAAAGAA